TGGCTCTCATATCTGGGATCCGAACCGGGGCCCTCTAGCGTCCCAAGCCAACTCTTAAATAATGCGGCACTCGGCCAGCCCTGTAATTAAGTTTTTAAGGCACATTTATTGATGCTTTTCACTTGGCAGGGGATAAATTATGTTTGCTATTGGAAGGCAGTATGACAAACAGTGAAATGAACACTGGACTGAAAATGTGAGAGCTGAGACTTTTCAACAGCCCTGAAATAAAGCAGATAGTATTCCCATTTTATAGTTGAGCAGACTAAGGCTCAGAGAGGCTGATTTTCCTAAACTCATAATGCTCTTTAGTGGCAAATCAAAACCTCTTCTCCTGATTTCTATAATTTAATCTACAAAAAATTAAGCTTTGTTTTAATCTTTTATGCTCTGGTGGCAAAGAAATGATCTATTGCTCACTGTGGTGTGGCATCAAAAAGTATAGTCTTTGGTCTATTTATTTAATCTTCGTTTACCACTTATAGTCTATAAGACATTGGTCATATCTTTTTTGCCTCTCTGAATCTATTTTCTCACGTGTAAAATGGGAATAGTAATACTGTTCAGTGTTGAGAATTTAATGAGATAATGCAAATCTGGCTTATAGTAGGTTGTTGAGTATACAGAAATTATTTAGTCATTTATGTCATCTCATTCCTCAACTGGTTCTTAAATTAACCCTGTAACTAGATATAATGAGAAGCAAAATATGAATTTAAAGTGCTTTTTATGGCTGTGTAAATTTAAGTTGTGATTAGATGAAAATTATGTTGTTCATGCAACATAATTTTAGGTGCCTAAATATGTGCTAGTCCCTGTGTTCAGCACTGAGGATACAATATGAAAATAAACAAAAACTTATTCTGTAAGAGCGTGTTATCTAGTGAGGAAGAGTTTAAATTTATTGTAGCTCAGTATAGTGTATGCAGTAATAGAAGAGCCCATCAACTGATGAATGGATAAACAAAATGTTGTATATTTGTACAATGGAATATATTTCAGCCATAATACATGCTATTACATGGATGAACCTTGAGAACATTATGTATGCTATGTGAAAGATGTAGTGTAACAACAAAAGGCCTAATGATTCCATTTATGTAAGATGTCTAGAATAGGCCAATCTATAGAGACAGAAAGAAGATTCATATTTGCTAAGGGATAAAGAGAAGAGTTGGGAGGTACAGGGTTTCTTTTTGGAGTGAGGAAAATGTTCTGGAATTAGGTAGTGTTAATGGTTGTATAATCTTGTAAATATAATAAAAACCATTGAATTTCATGCATTAAAATGGTAATTTTTATGTTATGTGAATTTTATCTTAATAAATTAAAAAATAATAGAAGAACATAGATTCTTGAGTGAGTTTGGTAAGGCTTTTCAGAAGAGGTAACATTTAATTCTTTTTGCGTATATATGTAGAAGTTAGTAGATCTAAGTCAAGACATTCTAAACCAGCGGTTCTCAACCTGTGGGTGACCTCTTTGGGGGTTGAACTACCCTTTCACAGGGGTCGCCTAAGACCATNCAACGGCTGCTCAGCTCGGGCTGGACTCGAACTGCTGTTGCTCAGAGCTCAAACTCTTGAGCGAGCTCTTAACCAACTGAGCCACTGGGCCGGCCCCTGTGTTTCTACTTTCTAGGAGAGTTCTGGTTGTTTTCTAAATCACCATTTTGGATTTTTATTTTTAACTTACAGGAATTCTTGCTTGCTCTCTGAAAGTTCATTTTTTTCAAGCATCTGGTTCTAAGATGCAGTTTTTCTTGAAACCCTGAATTTGTTAATTGGCATTAAATTTTTTTCAGTGCTAAAGATGATTGTAATATTCGCAAAGGTTCTTCTGTTCCTTAAATCTTCAGGATTTTTTTTTATCTTATTTAATGCATGGTGATTCTTTCCATTTACATTTAAAAGTAAAGTAATAAAGGCTCACTGGCTACTTGTGTGTGTGGGTAGAACTTGTTTACAAGTAGGTTTCACTTTAAGGTAAATAGCACAGGAACCAACTGTTCTCTAAATGTTCCGTCTAGGATGATGCAAGCACTCAAACTGGTTGTATTTGTTCTTTCCCTTTTTGTTAACTTGGTTTCATCAGTGACATACTCTCTGGTATTCTGGCCTATCTGTTGAGCATCAGGGATTAAGAGGATGACAGGGTGTTGTTTTGTGCATATACTTTGCATTGATTCTTCTCTCCTATTTTCAAATTTGGTATTCCTGAATACCTAACCTTTCTAGAATTCTCCAGAGCATATATACGCTCTGTTTTTGGCTGTCATCCCCTTTGAGTGTACTCTAAGCTATAGTGTTTGCTCTATCCTGCTTTATTACCCCTGTGTTTACTTCTTCCCCCTAGAAATTTTTTATATTTTCTCATCTGTTCATTTACTATATTCCCATTCTTTGTCATTGTGGGTTATATAGATATATTTTAATTTTATTAACCATAGATTTTAGTTAGGTCTTTGGAGGGAGCCAAGATAACTTAGAATTCTAGTTGATATCTGTGTGAACATTAGAATCAGCTTTATCATTAAAAATCATATTTTCATTTTATTTCTTCTGTTTTTTGGTTGTTTTCCGTAGAAGGAGGTAGCATAAATATTGTAACATGCCATTTTTACTTAGATAGCTTTTTAAACGGTTTTTAATAATCCCATCTTTTTTCAAAGCTAATTAAAAGTTCCTGACCAAAGAATTTAATATTACAGTTGCATACATTAGTGTTACTGCCTACTTAAATGTACTTCTATTGACTTTTAAAATATATGTCTTTGCATCATAGAATCTTAGTTGGAAGGTGCTCTAGAGTTTATGAGAGCCTACCCTTATTATGGGAGTCCCTTTCTTATCTTGAAAACCTCAGTTAAGGTGACTTCCTTAACAGGTCCAATCCATTGTTTTGTTCAGGTTGTTTAGAAACCAAATTCTGCCTCCATAGTATTTCTACCCTGTGGTTCTACTTTTATCTCTGAAAGCTAAGCAGACCAGGCTGCTACAGTTTCTTTGTGGAACCCCTTTGTCTTCCAGATAAAGTATCATCAATTTCTTCTGTTTTCAGAATATTTGATTTTCATACTTTTTCCTGTCCTTTTAATCATTTGGTCATGATATAGGTTTTCAGTTATTATGACCAAAATTGAGTATAATGCCAGTGGTAGCTTAACTAGTGCTTATGCTTGCTTGTTCTCTTACCTTATGGTTGCTAACGTACCAGCTGTCTTTTTTGTATTTTTAAATAATACAGTTAACATAAAGAAGATTTCATATTTAAACATACAAAAATAAAAACATGGTCACACACTTTCCTAGTTACGTTTGGATTTGTCAAAGGAAGTTTTTATTGTTTTGAGCAAACCTAGGTGGGGTTATTTATACTTGTTAAATGATGGGATAAGCTGGTACAAGTTGGCTTTTTCAAATGGATACTGGCTGTCAAGTAACAAACTGACCTGTGAATATTAGAGCTCTTTCAAAATGTCCAGGTTTTCTCAAGTCTCTGTGAATAGTCCACAGAATAACACTATGCTGTTACTTGTGGCACTGTGTACCAAAAGATACTTTTCTATATATTTTTGTTACCTGTAGTCTTAAAAATGGGTTTATGAAGTTTCTGACTACAGGTTATATACTATATGGTCTTTAAATTCACATCTATGGGTTTCATAATCTTGAGCAAATTTGCACTCTGTCCTTAAATATCAACAGCGTTTTAGTATTTAATGAATACATCTAATTTTAAGAACACTTAATTTGACTTAGGTGGACCTGCTCTTTTGTCATAAGTTTAGCTTTAGCTGTTCAATTCTGGGTTTCTTGTTATTGTTGCTGCCACTCTTGTGGTTTTTTACCCCTATTGTGAGTATTAAAAATTTTTAAATGTCTTGTTTATGGCACTCTTTTAATGTATACTGTCTTATTATATTTTAGCTTTAGCCTTATTTTAAATGTTTATAAAAGAAAAAAAGTATGTCTCTAAAATAAATATGATCTGATTTTCTATCAGTATTTTTTGGAAGTATTTAATTTATCTTGCTTCATAATCAAGTACAATGCGGATAGTGTAGGGTTTTTTTCTTTTTGACACATTAATTCTTATGCTTTGAAAGAAAATTAGACTAATTGGGTGATCTTGTTTTCTTTCAATTTTTACTTCAATGTAATGAATAAATATTAAATGTAAATAATGAACATATAAGGATACTTTAACAGCCATTTTCATTTTTGGTATGCTGTATTAATATATATAATATTTTTAATTATGGGATTTTTACTTATTAAATCAAAGGTACTTTACTTCCACAATGAAACACATTATCATTATTTTAAATAATTACTTAACCCACCATGTTGATGTATCATGATTTTTACAACTGTTAATGTTGGACATAGGTTATTTCCAAGTCTTAGCTATTATTACATGTGTGAACACTTACAAATGTTATTTTTTTTCTAGTTTAAGTCCTTGGGTTAAATTTTAATGTTGAAATTATTAGGTTAAAAAATATGAAAACAATACTTGCTCTATGTACTGTCATATCGTTTTAGACAGACTAAACCAATTTGTAATGTTTTTAGAAGTCAAAGACTGTAACTCGTTTTATACAACTGTGTCACTAATAGGTAATGAGATAGGTATAAAATATTTCTTCAAGGTTGTTTTAATTTACATTTCTTTGCTCACTAGTAACAGTGAACACCTAAGTAAAATTTTATTTGTGTTGTCTCTTATAAAATGCCTCTTCATATCTTTAACCCATTAGCTTATTTGATTGTTGATTTCTTCCCAGTTTGCCCCCCTGCTCCCCACCAATAATGCCATTCAGTGAGTCTGAACATTTTGAAGATCACATCTCCAAAAACAGTTTGGAGTTCTCTTGCTGTAAATGCATTGGATCCTTGGACTGACATCTTGCTTTTTCTTTTGTTTCTTTTTTAAAAAAGCTTTGACAGATCCAAATGCCTCTGCTGCCCAGCAGGCTGTTCTCCAACAGCACATCAACAGTCTAACATACTCACCTTTTGGAGACTCTCCTCTCTTTCGGAATCCCATGTCAGACCCTAAGAAGAAAGAGGAGGTAAATTTAAGGATGCTTTTGTAAAATTTAATCACAGAGTAGGAGAAACTAAATGTGCAGAATGTAATTTCTTACATACATAGGCTAAGCAAATTTAGGTGTAATTAAGTTTTTTTTTTAAGATTTTTATTGGGGAATTGGGGGATGGGAACAGTGCTGGGGAATTGGGGAACAGACAAGTTGCTGTCCTTTTGTTCTTCAGTCTAGTTGTGGAGGACGTTGCTTCACTGGCCCAAGTGAGCACCATCATTGCGCTCTTCCCGGGCGAGGCAGATCAGTCGCTGGCTTCTGGACGGCCATTCACGGCTTCTGGACGGCCGCTCACGGCGGCTGCTGGCCGCTCACGCTGGCTGTCGGCCACNTATATGAGAATTTAGCTCATTTATCACCTTCTGTGTTCATTATTCACTTCTCCCAATGTAGCTATTGGGTTGTCGGAAAAGTCATGACACATTTTTGCAACGAAAAACATAGAAAAAATACATCATGACTTCTCCGACAACCCAATATGTTTATTAAATTCCCTAAGTTTAATCTATTGAAGTGTTTTTCATACTTAATTCATTTGAATACCCCTTCCTCATTTTTGCAATTCCTGCCTGCCACCTTTATTTTTTTTAATTTAAAATTAACTTACTTTTTAACTTAAATATCTTTTTTAAAGAAAACTATGTTTTACCATAAAGGAAAAAATTGATACCACCTGGCATAAATAGAGTAAGATAGGAAAGGAGGGAGGGAGGAAGGAAGGAAGGAAGAAAGGAGTTTAAATTCATCTCTTGTACTATCATACTCCATGTACCACATTTTGAGAAGACTTCAAAATTAAGCCATGTCCTTATATACTTTTTCTTCTTCAGTCAACTAGGAGATAGTATTTCTTGACTCCCCTTGGTCAAGTAAGAATATTAGTGCCCTTCCTTATCTTTCTCTTTACCTCATTTCTTTTGCCATCTTTATATTTTTATATTGATGAAGTTGTTAACATGTTCTGTCCTAGAGTTATTACTGTCTTCTTTTCTTTGGTTAAAGCATAAAAGTTAATACCATAAAAACATTGCTGCCCAGCTAAATACACCTTTGTCATACAGCTTTTCCTGGGATTTCTGATTCTTTTTTTCCCCCTTGCATTATCATCCCTTTTCACCTTCCTAAACTCCAAATTTTTAAGAGTGTTATCATAATTTTACCTTAGGTCCCTCATTCTTTGATTTTTCTGTCCTCCTGCAGCCGTATGAACTCTTGACTATTCCCTAGACCTTTAGCATTCCTCTGGGGTATTCCCTTCAAGTCTACTCAGTGGGAACTGCTGTGTCCTGGATATAGGGTTTTCCTCTATTTTTTTTTTTAATTGTGTATACATTTTTTTTTTAATTGGGGAATTGGGGGGTTGGGAACA